TACTAATGTGCTAAAGAAAAAACATGCTGAACAGTTCATTCTTGTTCATATCAATAGGCAACTTACAATAAATATTTTGAGATTTGATTTTTACAAAAGATAAACTTTAACATTCTTTTTTTTTATCATCAAACTTTGACATATTTCAATAGATTTATCATTTAATGATAAATTTAAAATTAATACAACATATTTATCTAAAAAATTTATTAAATATTAGTCATAATAATGAATACGAATTTTCATTATTATTTAATATAATATGAAATGTTTTAATTGAAATCAGGATAAAAATATATTTTTCACATACAAAAGACTTAATTTTCAAAAAATTTAAATAAGTGTATTTCTCAAATTAATAACACAAATATAGTATTTTCAAAAAATCCCAAAAAAATTCTTTAATCGATAAGCATCTCTTTCATCGGCCGCATCAAAATCATAATTATTTTCAGAAAAAAATCACTAACTTTTTTCAATGGTTGAGATTGAACCCTTGGCCAGCTAGATCAATCCAACCATTGAGATTAAACCTTGACCATCAAGATCAACCAACGTTTGCTGGCAAGCAAGATGAATCGAACGGTTGAGAGTAAAAATACTTGGCGAGCAAGCATATATATCTAGTACTCTTACCAATTCATTCACGACGAACAACAAAATTATCTAGTCATTCGAAATCCTTGATTTCCTGTTTGCTCTCTTCTTCTATTTGGTGAGCTATCTTCTTCTATATGAATCTAACTCTTTTTTGTTGTTGGATTTTGTCTGAATATCGATTTGAATGTTATCTAAATCTTGATTTTTTTTTCTCTAGACTACGTGAAAATGAGTATTTCAACCCATAAATTACTTCAGAATCCCAAGAAGAGAAATCTTTTTGAAGATGAAGATGATGCTATTGATGTTGTAAGTATTACAATTTTGGGTTCGTGAAAACAAATTATTTGTTGTTGCGTTACTTGATTATCTAACATTTTAAATCCATCGCTCTCTACATTTAAAATATGCATTGCTATTAACTTTATAAGGTTGATTATATGTATTGGTAGTGAATGTCATTTCGAATGAGAGAGGTTCTATCTCGAAATGAAAGACTCATTATCAACTTTTGTACAAATCTTGATCTTTTGTCTTTATCAAGAGATCAATTTTATAAGGTTGATTATATGCATTGGTATTTGCTT